TTTTTTTTTTTTATTTAAGAAGGAATACTTTCATAATTTGTAACAATAATTTCAAATAAGTGAATCACTAAATTTCTTAAAGCTTTTCTTAATTTTAGTTAAGATAAAACCTTTTAGGAATATCCTTGAAACGGAATAGCATTTGAACTCTTGTTTCAAATACTCTTTAAAAGCTTTTCTAAAACTAGTCATTTCAATCGGCCATCTCATTTAACTTTAAAACGGATTTCGTGAGAAATCTTAAATTCAAGTACATCTTAAAGTCCTTCTAAAATTACTCATTTAAATCGTCATGTTTAAAATTCATTTATTTGTTGCATGTACTGTTGCAACGTTCTAAAACTTAAACACTCAAAACTAGGGTTGTTAGTTACAACCTTGGTTTTCTTAACATACATATGTACGTATACTTTTTAAACATACATACTTGAAACCTTTGAATCATATAGACATATACATGATTTTTCTTAAACTTACTGCGGAAAATAACTGCGTGAGCGGTATCCATTCCAATCTCCACCATTCGTCCACCGCTCGCCATTGCCCTTCAAGAATTGCTGATAGGTTTCTTACCTACAACATGAACATATCTGATTGAGCTTTCGCTCAGCAAGTAGGAACTATATCTCACAAAATAACTGTAAGTACACATGAATAAATATGCATGAGCTGATTATGCTTAATTATGACGTCTTATCATAGTCTTATTATCTTATCTTATATTTCTTACTGATGGGCCCGAGTGCTCGCGTACCACTTGCGCGCAATCATCGGAACGTGAGGGTTTGCAAGGTCCCCCACGACACCGTGATTATAACTTGAATGCCTCCCTTGAGTCGGAGGACATTATTGTTATTTTCTGTTTCTCCCTTGTGAAGCATGAGTTACCTCCCTTGTGGAGGCTAGTACGGCACTCAACTGATATTATTCTTATAAGTTCCTCTTGACTTATTAAGGTGTATGCAATATGACATAGCAAAGCATACTATAACATAAAATGTACTCAAATACATATACTTCATGTGCACTGCTTAAGTGTATGCAGTATGATCTAGCATAATATACATAATATTAAATTAACTCAAACACATATAATTCATGTGCGCTGTTTATGTGTATGCAGCATGACATAGCATCGCATACAATACTTAAAGCATAAACATGCATATATAACATGTGTAACTTTCTCTTTAAAATCTATTCATACTGTAGGCGAGATTCCTACTTACTTGATTTACAGAGCTGGAATCCACTCTTCGCCAAACAGCCTATTCTCTTACTTGCTTACTTCTGAAAATGAACACCCATTGAGAGTGTGAAATTATCTGTCATTTGCTATTCTATTTTAGCAACTTATGAAGAAAATCTAACCCTTTACTTAAGGTATGTATTCCTTTCCTTTATTGAAGGATAATTTACTATAAGGATCAAT